GCCTAGTTAACCTAATTAACCTAGTTAAGCCTTTAAATGTCACTTTAAGCTTTATAGAAGTGTCTAAAAAGATCTAGTCAAATAATATTTACTGTCATCATGGCAAAGATAAAATAAATCAGCTATTAGAAATGAGTTATTAAAACTATTATGTTTAGAAATGTGTTGAAAAAAATAAACAGGGGGTCTAATTATTTAGGGCGGCTAATAATTCTGACTTCAACTGTATGTGTCAATATGTGCTTTAGTTCACAATTTTGTAAAACACCAAAAACATACTTTGACTTTTACATAACATTTGACTGCAGTTATGGTATAATAATGGTACAACATTATTTGTTCCTTTTCACACTAATGATATTAACAAGGACATACTTTCAACAAATAAAGTAATATTTTCATGCCATTCTTAGCAAAACACCAATAAATACCACAAAAACAACTTAATGTTTACGATTTGTAATTCAAATATGTTTGCCATGGAGTCCAGTTAAGCACGATTAATTCCATAAAAGAAAATAATCTATGTAAAATCAAGGTACACCTATGTGGTCAGAGTACCCTTGTCTCTTACGCTTGCGTTCAGAAACACTATTGGTTGGGTTTAGGGAAAGGATTAGGTCAGAGGTTTTCTAGTAGGGTTGCATGATACTGGAATTTGTACCAATCGATAATGAAGTTTCAAAAATGTCCATTTCCAGCTGACGTTTGAGCGCCATTGAGTATGTTTTTAAACAGCGCTGATTTGCCATTGTGTTCACGTGATCAACAGAAATGACAGTGATTGGTCATGAAGGTCATCAGTTCACCAAACTCACCACTGTTTACTGAGTGTAATTACAGATACAAGGACACTGGAGTGTTTCAAAGCCAAAATTCATCAGTGGATCCCTCGTATGTCAGCTTACAGACAAACCAGCTGATCAACGTGACAGAACATAAATCGAATACATAAGTTAAAAGAAAAGAGCAAACCTTCATTTTACACAAGAAAAAAACAAGCATATCACACACTCATTCAACACTTTCTGTGTGGCAAGCACATCCCAGGATTAAATCAATGCTATGCAGAGCTCAGCTTAACTTCATCTGACAAATGCTTGGGGTTTAAGCAAAGCAAAGAAGCATCTGAGGAAGGATTCATGTGTGCATGTGAGCTTTAATTATCAATGTGGAATCTTGTGTATCCAACAGGCTTCACTGCAGTCAGGCGTCTTTAAAGCCAGATGACAGCATGGACAGAGGTGCTGTATTATTTAAACAACCTTCAGTCCCCTTCCCACAAACCTACTCCAATTTTTATCTCTTCGGCACTACAGTAAACCCACCAGACCAGATATTAGCAAGCTGGTTCTTATTTTAAAAACCTGTGCTTAATATATTATGCTGGCTCTGATCAGGAAATGTAAAGCTTTATTTTCAAAAATAAAAATAAATAAATAAAACAAAAGTTTTGAATGAGTGTGTAGGTCAACAAGAGATGTAATAATTGGTTTATAAAACAGGGGTCTTAAAATGTCTTACAATTCAAAACCAAAATTGTAGGCCTTAAAAGGTCCTACATTTACTGAAATACTGTGTTGTAGTTCTTAAATCTTTTTTTAAACGGGTTTTAAATTGGTGTCCAAGCGACACACGAGTGATGCACAAGCATTTTCCAGGCACACCTAGTTTAAAACATCTTAACTTTTCCAAATACGGCGAGCGCACCGCAATTCATGCAAGTAGAACTAACCAATTCTGCTTTACCCTTTGTATGGAATATACACATTTCAGTACCAGCAGACTAATTACTGTACCTCAGATAAACACAGCACACCCAAACACTGCAGTGTTGTTTAATTCTCCTTAAATTTGTATCAAAGCTGCAGCAATAGTTTGTCCATTTGTCATCCTCTGAGAAAATTGTTGACGTTCGCCTACTGTAGTTACAGAAAAATGGCAGGGGAACGCGAGTGCCAGCACAAAGCGCATTGAAAGTGGTGAAGGAAACCACACGCTCGTGCTAGTCACTTCAGGTCGAAAAAACAACACACGCGAAAATGAGTGCCATATAGCAGCAGTGAGGAGATTGTAAATAAAAAAGGATGTTAGGATGTCGCCACAGTGGCTTTTTGGTTTCTTTTCTTGTGCATCCCAGCCACTAGCACCCAATATGAAAAAGTCCTAAATTTACAGTGATAATGTATTGTAGGTCCTAAATCTTTTTTTTAAACAGGTCTTAATTTTAATTTATTCGTATTGCTACCCAATCTGGCCAAAACCCAGACAATCACCAACAATCCATCTCAATAAAACTTTAAATTTGTTATTTAAAAAGGTCATTTTTAACTCTATTTATCATAATGGTATAATTATTTTCCTTACAATAACGTTTGTTTAAAAGATCTCCATGTTTTTACTGCTGAGGACACAAATCTGGACAGATTTTTGTCAATAGATTTAGTTTATTAAAGTTTTAAAAACTTTTAAAACATTTGTTCATTTTTTTTTTTAAGGAAATTTTATGTTCGGAAAAAAAGTATATGGATACAAGTAGAGCTTGCTCGTTTTTACACAATATTTAAAATATTTAGCTAATAAATAACATCTAAAATATTTGAATTGTGTATTATTAATGTATAATTGTATTATTAAATGTAATAAATTATAAAAAAAATTTTGATAGGTCAAATAAAAATCTTTTCCATCTGGGCCATTTGATAAAGCGTTTTATGAGTCTAAACATTAATTTATAATGGTCTAAAAAATGTACTTTAAAAAGTCTTAAATTTAACTCTGTGAAACATGCAGAAACCCTGTAAAAATAATTAATCAATTAGTTTACAAGAGTAAATAAAGTAAGTGTTGGTAAACAACTACTGAATACAGCAGTTAGTAATATAGGTTCTAAACATAAGCTGCCCTTTTTTTGAATTAATGTACAGTTGAAGTCAGAATTACTAGCCCCCCCTTTTAAATTTTTTTTATTACTTTTTAAATATTTCCCAAATGATGTTTAACACAGCAAGGAAACTTTCACAGTATATCTGATAATAAATTTTCTTCTGGAGAAAGTCTTATTTGTTTTATTTTGGCTAGAATAAAAGCAGTTTTTAAAATTTGAATAAACATTTAAAAAGGTCAAAATTCAAAAGATAAAATAAATCAGTTACTAGAGATGAGTTTTTAAAACAATTATGTTTAGAAATGAGTTGACAAAAATCTTCACTTTGTTAAACAGAAATTGGGGAAAAAATAAACAGGGGGGCTAATAATTTTGACTTTAACTGTATGTGAATACTTAAATTATCTAGTGTTAATTCACACTGTTTTACTTAAACACAAAAATAACAGCAAATAAAAAATAATAGGTCATGATATTCAATGCACTGAATCTTACTGTAAAACAGTACTCAAGTCTTGTGATGCTACGTATTCACTGCTCTTGAAGTTTTACTTATTTATTATTGTGTGATTCACTATCCTGAAAAATGGAAGCAAGATGCAGTCCTTATAAATAAAACATTCACCCAGTGAGGACTCAAGCAGAGCATCATCTTTATTTAGACAGGTCTAGGTTAAAATTATCTCGATCTGAGCTAGCCCTACACTGCCAGAGACTGATGGTCATTAGGCATTAACAAGGGCTTCCCCAAGCTCTGTGATCTAATGCTTAGACGAAAAGAAGGTAAGCTATAATGACAAGAAGCTTTTTAGGACAGATCAGTCCGTGAAGGCGCAAAGTGAGAAGCTGTAATCCTCTACACTCTGGGCAAACTGCAATGTTTAGTAGACTTAGAGAGAGTGAAAATCATCCATGAAACAAACAAACACAAGAATTCACACATAGTAGATTTAATTGGGACGCAGGCTAAAAGACACCCAGAGGACCAAGCGGTTATGTAACTAAAAGAACTTGCCATCCCGCTCTGAACTAGACAAGCATAAAATGAACCGAAAGGAATCTTAGGCCTGGGCTTTATTTAGTCCTAATCAAGAAAGCAAAATCAAGAAAGCAAACTATTATAAGATGCTGCATTCAATCAAGCTGAAATCAGTCTATTTCAGTAAACAGAAGCCAAGAAGTCCCTCAGGACTTTGTTATTTTTAAGTACACCAAAGTGGTGGAAGTAAAGGCATAAGGGAACATACAATACTCTAGCTAGGTTCAGTCTGAAAACTTGCAGAAGAACACCCTCGGCTCTTCAGTCTGCCAACATTCGAGATCTCATTGAGGCTTTCAATTTGTCAGGACAAATGAAGACTCTGCGAGACTTCCAACTTAATCACCCACGAGTATCAGGATCACAAGCAAAGGAATGGATAGCTGCCATGAGGATGTAACCTGGAGCATATGTTCAGATCTTATCCTACGAAAGGTGTTATCAAAATTCCTCTCAGTGTGAGAAGACAATTAGCAGCTCAGTGCCAGTTTAAACAACTAAGTTTAAGTAAATGCCCCTCATGCATCTTTCGGAATGAATCTCGATACAAATTCAAAGCAACTCCCTACCTTGCATCCAAACATAAGTGAGATGGTGCTGTTGGTGCATGCTACTTTACAGTGGCACAACATTGGCGAAATGCAATCCAAGTTTTTGATGCTGGGAGACATTCTCTCTGCGCTTGGGCACTTCAATCCATCAGCGGTCGAGGTGCCGGCCGACAGCTTCCACGAGTGCTGCCCGCTGCCTGCTCTCGATGTGCACCCTCATCTCTGTGGCAGGGGGAGCAGAAGCAGCGGCGTGATGCCTTCATCCAGCGAGCCCTTGTCAGTTGAGTCCACTCCAATCTCCAATCTCTTCGCTTGACTCGACTCAATCGGCCCGTCAGATTAGAGCGCTCCCGAAGAGAGCTGCACTTGAGGGAGCTCTGGAGGAGCCATGCTGCCTTCCGTGACCAGGGGGTGTTGCGGTACGAGGAGGAGGAGCAGGAGGAGGGTTAGAGGGCACTGGGGTCTCGTGTCACACGGCGAGGAACCCTCCGAGATCCATCAGTGCTGCTGCGCTTCCACCTGCTGCAGAGGAGCCGCTGCCATGACTCGGAGGAAAGAGGAGCAGCTTCGGACGCTTCCCAATCAACTATCCAAACAAGACGCGGCAAAACGGCGGAGACCGAGAGAAAGAGATAGAGCGAGAGAGAGAAGAGGTAAGCAGACTGAAGGGGGAGGGGCGAGCAGCAGCGTTCAGCTTATTACACAGTTCACTAGAGAGAAGCTGAGGAGTTTCTGAGCCGACGGTTGCAGAGAGCCGACCGGGAGATGGGGATAAAAATGATCCGGTCCATTTAGAGGTGAAACGGGGTGACATGGAGAGTGCTTTCTCAACAGATTTACAAACACAAGGACACCAGAGGAGGGAAGACTGCAGCTAGAATGACCTCCGATGTGCAGTTATGAAATCTGATCTCAAAGAGCAATAAGAGGGTGAAGGTAAAAACTTGACAACCTAAAGCAGATGACAGTAGTTTATCATCCAGATGGTTGTCATGCATTCACAAGTCAGACCGATAACTTCAACCAATTGTGTTCTTACATTTTAAACAAGTTATATTTATAAGGATTAGGTCCAACCCTAAGAAAGAATGGAATTACTTTGTGTTTCAAGTGTTCATGAACTCTTCTCTGGAAAACCTGCCACAAAAACATGTCCATATTACATCAGCGATATTTTATGTAGGCATCATTAATTTGTGTTCTGCAGAAATAATAAGCATGCTGGATGCTTTGAGCATACTAAATGTTGTCAAGCTTATTTATAAACTAACACAAACAATATTGAAGAAAATGGTCATTAATTTGGCAGAAAGCAGTCTTTAATCTAGAGCTGAGAGTCGATTCCAAAAAAAATCGATTTTGAGGTGTTGAGAATGGAGACTCGAGTTGGAATCGATTACATCAAGTGGAATCGACTCGTCTTTTTTTTAACAGAGCTAATCGTTAATTAGACTCTTGTTTGCTAATAATGATTGGAAGCCCAAAGCTTTTTGGTGAACAGTTACTTTCAGATGATTTGCTTCAATGAACCTGGTTCAGATAAACCATTTCAGGTAAAAGCAGCTACTTTATGTCATGATGAAACATTCAAATAAAAGCCCTACTGTATGTGAATGCTTACTGCTGATTATAACACTTCCAATTTTTCCATCACATTACTAGAAAATATCTTAAAATAAAAGTTTCTACAGTGAAATGGTGTGCCTCAATATAAACAAAGGTACACAATTGCATAATTGGCCTATAAGTACATAAATATAAGCCAGCCTCATCAAACCATTGATTTATTCCAATTACAAGCCAAAAATGAATTATTTAGAACTATAAAAATCTTGATCATTCTAAGAAAGCAACTATCAATTACCTTTATAGTTTTTGTTAATAAATTAAAGGCTAACCTTTTCTTAATGTATACACTCAGTCCACTTTATTTGGTACACCTGTCCAACTGCTCGTTAACACAAATTTCTAATCAGCCAATGACATGGCAGCAACTTAATGCATTTAGGCATGTAGACATGGTCAAGATGATCTGCTGCAATTCAAATCGAGCATCAGAATGGGGAAGAATGATGGTTTAAGTGACTTTGAACATGGCATGGTTGTTGGTGCCAGGCAGGCTGGTCTAGGTATTTCAGAATCAGCTAATCAACTAGGATTTTTAATATTTCCATTACCTTATTGAATTTATGCCACAATGAATTAAGGCAGTTCTAAAGGCAAAAAGGCGTCCAAACCAGTAGTAGTAAGGTGTACCTAATAAGTGGCCATTGGGTGTATACTGTACTATATTTAAAATGTTATATTCAATTCAATAAATTTTTATTTCTATAGCACATTTACAATGTAGATTGTGTAAAAGCAGCTTAACATACAAGTTCTAGTCAATTAAAAACGTGTCAGTCCAGTTTTCAGAGTTTAAGTTTAGTTTAGTTCAGTGTGGTTTAAATTATATTTACGACTATCACGAGGAACAGACTCTCAAAATCAAGTCCACCCTTTTCCAGTATCTCATTTTTAATTTCAATACAATTCTTAAAAGAGATGCACAAATGAATTGGAGATGACACTGAATTTACTTTAAATCTGATTGACTCTGAAACCACAGGATTAAGAGTCATTAGTGTAAAAAAAACACAGTTTTTCACTTTAATCTAAAACACACAGCAAAGGCCATCAGCTAACAGTCGGTAATTTACATTAACCGATACTTCTTTAACACTTTGTGAACATACTGAAATTAAGTCAAAAGGTAAATGATTGTTCATAAAATAATCAATAAATGATAAATAAATGCTTTAGCGGGCATCACAGTGGCGCAATGGGTAGCACAAGAAGGTCACAGCAAGAAGGTCGCTGCACCGAGCCTTTTCTAGGTCAGTTGGTATTTTTCTATGTGGAGTTTGCATGTTCTCCCCATGTTCTAAAGACATGCGGTAAAGGTCAATTGAAAGCTAAATTGGCCGTAGTGTATGTGTAAATGCAAAAGTGCATGGGTGTTTCCCATTGGATTGCAGCTGGAAAGGCATCCGCTGCGTAAAACATATGCTGGATGAGTTGACAGTTCATTCCGCTGTGGTGACCCCTGATTAATGAAGGGATTAAGCCGAAAAGATAATGAATGAATGAAAAATGCTCTAGCTAAAGCATAATGTTAAAGCCTCATTCTTTAATGTCAATATTTTTGTCACCATTTTTTCTCAACCAAATGCATTTCTGTTATAAAACCTTACGTTTCATGCCTATTCATAAATATTATGTCCACTCCCCCTTACTTGTTAATAGTTTTTTTTATATAAAATGGAAGATCATAAAAAGGCATATATAGCCCTGCTATCATCATGAGGAATTGTGTAATTGTTAATAGTTTTCATTTACTAATTAGGGAATTTAATTTAGATAATTTGTCTAAAATGTGGAATGAACCACGGAATAAACCACCAACTTATCCAGCAAATTTTACGCAGAGGATGCCCTTTCAGCCGCAACCCATCTCTGGGAAACATCCACACACACTCACATTATTTTGTGTTGCGTTATTTGGTTAGTGAGCAGCAATAAATAACACTTTAAAATGTAAAGATTTTTCATGTTATTTTCTAAACTAGTAGCGTTTTAAAATTAATGAATTCATAATCATGCTAACCATGAAACCCTGATTATTCCTCAACCAAAATATATCATTATTGCATCCCTGATTAGTGTATGTATATACACACACATACACACACATATACACACACATATACACACACATACACACACATATACACACACACACACACACACACTTGAAACCACAAGTTTAAATACACTGGTATAAAAAGGTACAAAACCAAAAAAAAGTCAGATGTTAATGTGACTAAACTTTTTCTCTTTTAGGTAAGTTAGGAATATATAATTTGTTTGTGTTATGCTTAATAGCAGAATAAGGAGAGAGATGTATTTTGGAAAATTGTTATAACTTTTCTTGAAAGTCAAGTTTACATATAATATGATTATTGTGCCTCTGAAAAAGCTCAGATGATGGTGTCAAGGTTTGGGAAGTTTCTGATTGACAACATTTGAGTTAATTGTAGGCAAAACTGTAGAATAGTATTTAACGAAAACCTAAAACACACTGCTTCCTTTGTGATAACATGGGAAAATCAATAAGCCAGAATCAACAAAAAAGCCAGGTTAAAATTTGTTAAATTACACTGGGAAAAAGATTAATATTTGGAGACATGCCTTGTGGTCTGATGGAACTAAGATTGAACTGTTTGGCCATAATGACCAGTGTTACATTTAGAGGACAAAGGGGAAAACTTACAAGGCTAGGAACACCATCCCAACTGTGAAGTATGGGGGCGGCAGCATCATGTTGTGGGGCTGTTTTGCTACAGGAGGGACTGGTCCACTTCACAGCATAGATGGCATCATGAAGAAAGAATATTATGTAGAAATACTGAAGCAACATCTCAAGACATCAGCCAGGAAATTAAATCTTGGCCACAAATGGGTCTTCGAAACAAACCATGACCCTAAGCATACTGCCAATATAGTTAAAATGTGCTTTAAGAACAACAGAGTGAATGTTTCGGAGTGGCCATCACAAAGCCCTGATCTCAATCATATGGACAATTTGTGGGCAGAGTTGAAAAAGCTTGTGCGAGCAAGAAAGCCTAAAAATCTGACTCGGTTACATCAATTTTATTAGGAGGAATGGACCAAAATTCATTCAAACTACTGTGAGAAGCTTGTGGAAGGATACCCAAAACATTTGACCAAAGTTTAAAAGCAAAGCTAAAATAAAAAACACTAAGGAAATGTATGTAAACTTTTGACTGTCTAGAAATTAATAAAAAAAATTATCCAAAAAAAAAATAAAATCTCTTATTATTCTGCCATTTAGCAAATGTAAATCATTTAGGTAATCCTAGCGTACCTAAAATAGTAAACGTTTAGTATGATTTACCATCAGACATTTTTTTTTTAATGGTTATGTTCCTTTTTAGAGTGTGTGTAAACTTCTGTTTTCAACTGTATATGTACACACATTTCAATGAATCGTGCAGCATTGCCTACTGTAAGTCAAAGTCAACTTTTTGTCTGATAATGCACATCAAAACAATGAAACTACTACAGGTAAAGCATATTTCTATAGAACAGTTGCTTTTTATTTTCTCTGTAAAAAGCTATGTTTAATAGGATCACTGAGACTTAATGTGGGTGCATTTCACTGTGGAGCTGGTCTTAAATGATGAGTCCTGGCTTTATTATCAGGGAGTAATAAATGTGTGTGTGATGATTTCTGCTCTTCCCCTCCTCCCTCCTGCCACACTACATCATCTGAGCAGTTACATCATCAGTGCAGAGCGGCATGCACATCAACACTACTACACACAAACACACTATTATAAATACATGCATACACACAGTACAAACTGCACAGTACAAACACACACCACAATTACAAACATATAAACACACTACTGTACTATAACAAATGCACACACACAAACCACACTATTAAACACATCCACAGTCATATGCACATACACATAAACCACACTACTACACACAGCACAAACAAACACACAACACTCTAATATAAATACACAATTCACAGCACAACACACACACACACACACACACACACACACACACACACACACACACACACAGCAGTCTATTATGAACACATACAGTACACACAAACTGCACTACACACAAACACATACACAAGTAATATGAACATAATATAAATACACAAATGCACAGCACAAACAACACACACTATTATAGACACACACATCACTACTATAAACATACAGACACAATTGTACACAGTACAAACACATGTACATATGTACACTGAACTATATGAACACAAACTGCAAAACTAAACACATACACACTCAACCATACTATTACAAACATGTGCAAACAAACCACACTATTGTAAATAAACGCACACAAACAACACTATTACAAACATACATTTGCATAGAACGAGTTTATATGTATGTGCGTGTGCGTATAGGTGTGTTTGCAGGCAGCGAGTTTATATATGTGTATGCGTGTATAGGTGTGTTTGCATGAAGTGAGTTTATTTGTATGTGCATGTTAATGTGGGTGTTTATGCAAGGATTGAGTTTATATGTATGTGCGTGCGTATGTGGGTGTGTGCATGCGTCAAGTTTATATGTATAAAAGCAAAGTTCGATTTAAATCTTACACAGTAAGTAGTACTGTCACCTCAAAGCAAAAAGGTCGCTGATTCGAGCCTCGGCTGGGTCAGTTGGCGTTTCTGTGTGGAGTTTGCATGTTCTCCCAGTGTTCGCGTGAGTTTCTTTCAGGTGCTCCGGTTTCCCCCAAAGTCTAAAGACATGTGGTAAGGGTGAATGGAATAAGCTAAACTGGCCGTAGTGTATGTGCGTGAAAGCAACAGTGTATGGGTATTTCCCAGTGTTGGGATGCTGCTGAAGGGGCATCCGCTGCATAAAGCATATGATGGATAAGTTGGCGGTTCATTCTGCTCTGGCGACCCCTGATTAATAAAGGGACTAAGCCGAAAAGAAAATGAATAAATTAATGACATATAATATATTTAATAATATTTAATTTCAATCAAAACCGTTTGTAAAAAATGAACCAATTAAAACAAATACAGGCCAGATGATCACATTTGACCTAAATCAATGTAATGTTATGTAATCAGAAAATAAATAGACATGTGGTGAAGTCTGCAACAGTTAAATTATCTGAAACTACTGTACAATTTGGACAGGGCTAATTATAATTCAACTAACAACAACATTACTTACAGTATTTATTTATTTATTTATTGTTATAATCATACAGTATTATAATTATTATTATTATATATTATTATTATTATCATCATTATTATACTTTTTATTAATATTATCATTTTTATTATTACTATTATTAACATTTAATTTTGAACTATAATTTTAATAGACCCTTATTAATATTGTTAAAGTTTTTAACAAATTTTTAGACCTTTGCTCTTTCTGTTTAAATAGTGAAAAAACTGGTGATAACTAAAAGCATTTGTAGAATTGCTAATGAACAAAAAAAATAGACTAGAAATAATATTGCTATAATAATCATTAATGATTATAATCAAAGGCTACATAAACAAAGATTTTATTTCGCTAAGTACAAAGACATAATCATATGACAAGAGCCATAATTTCCATGGATTTATACATTTCTAAGCATTAAAAACAGAATGCTTTCCATCATCCAATCCCATCTTCAACAATGTGATTTAATCTGGCAGCGTGACATTGCTGATATACACAATGACTTCTGGAGCAGTTTCGATCCAAAAAGAATAATTCATCCGAAAGCTGAGGCTTATTACTAACTTCAAAATCAATCCCACTGCTGAGAGTTTCAAGGAGGAAAGGACGGTTTGCACGCAGATCCACACACTTGGCTTGATGTCGAAGCATTTCATCAAGCAAAAAGTTTGTGTATTACGGTTTGCTCAGCAGTTTGAGCGAGAACAATGAGCACATCTCCCATAATAAACGGTGTACGCAGGCTGATGCTAATCATTTCACTGCTTTACAGAGGAATATCTAGATGACAGATTGCTGAACTCCCATGATGCCATCAGACGATCAGATACCAGAAAGACTGAAAGCGGCGGATGAAGAGAAACACGTCCGTGAAGCCCACAGAAACTCCTCTCTCGTTGGCCAAGTGAGTCTTTGTTCCAACATTCGTTTCTGCTGAAATCTGTCTTTTAATATCTTCTCCATGCAGAGAAAAAGGCTGTGTGATGACATGGTGGGAAAAGTTACCAAACTGAGAAAGTTATGAAGGTTATGACGGATATGGTAATATGCCAGATGGTATAAGGTCCCATAGCTGAGAACATTCAGAGATTATCTGAAGGTGAAGATGACATTTTACAAGCCTGAAGTGTTTGTCATTGTAATCAGTCTATGATTTTGAGCAGTCATTTGTTGTTTTTTAGCAGTGAGCCTCAATTTGTGATATTATATACAGCTATTACAAGTAATCATCCATAATTTCCAAAGATAGTAATGTTATGAGACCACAAAATAACAACAGTAACAACAACGACAATTACAACGACAATAACAACAACAACAACAACAACAACAACACAAATAATACAATAGGATAAGTGCACATCAATAAATTTAGGTTAACTCTATTTAAAAATAACAATAATAATAATAATTATTATTATTATTAGTTTATTTATTATTATTATTATTAGTATTAGTATTAGTATTATTAATTATTATTATTATTATTAATAATAATATAATATTAATTAGTTTATTATTATTATTATTATTATTATTATTATTATTATTGGTGTTGTTGTTATTTATTTATTATCATTCTTTTGTTATTATAACAATATTATAATATAATATTATTATTATTATTATTCTTGTTGGTATTATTATTATTATTATTATTATTATTATATTGTTACTATTATAACAATGTTATAATATAATATTATTATTATTATTATTGTTATTATTATTTTTACTATTATTATTTTAAAAAACTAATGTTAATTAATAATGATTATTATTATTATTGGTAAATAATTTTATTAATTTGATTATTACTCTTGTACTTTTCTCAGTAATATTAAATCAATATGAATGAATGAATGAATGAATGAATGAATGAATGAATGAATGAATGAATGAATTTATTTAACAGGGACAATGCACAAAAATTACATTAACCTCAAAGATGCATTGTGCCAGGTTGTAGCAAGATTGCTATTTTCCACCTGCAGTTCCTGGACAGGTAAAATTATATATTATATCAAGTATAATAATATTACATTTAAATCAAAACCATTTTAAAATAATGAACAAATAAAAAAACAAAACCAAATCGAATTGCTAATTAGTCATTAGATAGAAATAGAAAAATGGTCATAAAAAAGAGATTAAATTAATGCCAGCATGAGAAGCAATGAGAATGCTGATTATATTTAATTAGTGGGTTTACATTTAATTACAGAGCGATACAGCATAAATACAACAGCAAATAAAACATAGTATTTATGTCTGTCTGAGTGTGACCCTTTCAATGAGCTCTGAAATATGGAGAATCTGCACTCACTGTACTGAAGTGTTATGATGACACACAGTGGCCAGACTCTACTGTCAGACAGAGAAAACATTTCTCCCGCTGAGGAGACACACAAACATACTCAGACAATACCACAAATACACCAATATTGCGATTATACAGAGCTACAGTGGTTATTTTTAATACTCATAGAGCCATTAAGCTATAGTTTTTTTTCTTTTATAGAAGAGTGACATGATGGGCTATTCATCTTCTCTGTCATATCGTGACAGAAAATACCTGAGGAATTGAAGTGATGAGAACAGGTCTGAAACAATCCAATTATTTCAGTGCTTTGACATTAATGAAATATTAAACAGAGAGATTTCTTTCAGCAGAGCGCATCAATAATTGAAAATTACATTACAGTGGACAAGGCACATGTGAATATGGAGTAAAGATGAGGAAAATTCCATACTTTTAAAATCAACTAGTCAGTTAGTCGAATGAATGAATGACTACTTGATCGATGGCTCTTAATGAGGATCTCTGAATTAATCTACAATATCTTCATTTGTGAAAAAAAAGAAAATGTTAGTATAATATATTGGTCTTAAAGATATCGATAAGTTAATATGCTGCAAAACAGTGACCAAATTTGCATTTAGAGGAATCAAACATCCAAATCTTGCTGTTTGTTTCACATAAATGGATCAGCGGTTTTTATGATATCAGTCAGTCAGTCAATCTTTATTCATTTCCCGAAGGCAATTTGGTTGCAGCATACAAGCATGTCACACATAATACACAAAAGTACATCATACAATACAAATCCTACCCTAAGTTTAAAAACTTTACAGCTGAGGGGATGAATGAAAGTTTTAAACTATTTGTTTTACTAATAGGTGTTCTGTATCGAATACCAGAAGGGAGAAGATAAAACTCATGGTGCATAAATCACATCATCACATCATACTTCAGTTTCTCAACAAATCTTCTGACCAATCAAATGCTCTCTAATATCTAACATGCCCTGCCCCCTTCAATATGCTTCCAATTATTTTTTCTCAGCTTTGAAACAAGCAAAATGCTATTGGCTATTTTTCAAAAACAGGAGCCAAACATTCTTTCGTGCCTACATGTTTCAGTTGAGATAACATTAAACATTAAAAAAAATTTCAAAGCACTTCACAGGACCTTCAAGTCCCATTTTCACTGAGTAGTATGGTGTGGTTCGGAATGAGTCAACTTTAGTAGGCTTGTGATGAATTAGAATTATGGCAGTTTGATCATGTTTTAGGTTGCTGAAAGAATCTTTTGTTCCTTTGTTTTTTCTGGCTTCTCCGTTGTTTTTTCGCCCTTCACTCTCACATTTGTACATTTCTGAAAGGACCTGATGTCAGAAGTACTTCAAAAATCACATTTTTATCATCAGCTCGAGAAGTTTGTTATTTCAAATATAGATGTGCGGCAAGCAAACGCGAGAAAACAATACCACTGATGCTTAAACAGGACATGACTTTTTTGTTTCAGGACATTAGGTTTGTTTGAGCATGGGTCAACCATGACTCGCTATAAATGTATGTAGTATTACTATGCAATGATTCCGCTTTGTATTTAAAAAATGTCGCTTCCTGTGTTTTCATTCTCTTGGCTTTTGCAAGCGCTAGTGACATTCCTCTGTAAACCAATAGCTATGTTTCTCGCTCCGCCTTTTGGTACCCTTTTGTTGTGCCTTTGGAAAGGGTACCCCAAATGTGGTACGGTAAAGATTACTTATTGGTACACTTTGACTGTGGAAATGGACATAAAAGCGTACCAAACCATACTGTACCATACCACTCAATGGAAACCGGCCATTAGTGGTTTAGTACACTGCAACATGAAAACGTGCTCACCATAATCAAGTGCTCCTAAACTTGTATAAAATTCTTTCTTTCATCTGTTAGACACAAACAAGATATTCTGAAGAATGCTGGAAACCAGCAGCAAATATTTTGTTCAACATACATAGCATTAACAAAAACTTAAGTCAATAAATGCTTTATAACATTTTTCGTTTGTGTTTGACAGGAGAAAGAAAGGAAACATGTTTGAAACAAATGGAGGAATAGTAAACGATAACAGAATTAAAATTTTGTGGTGAACCATGTCTTTAAAAATGCAAAGTAGTATGCATTAATTAATTCACAACACATAAATGACAGCATTACAAGAATAAATATGCTAAATGTTATCACACTTTACATTTGTAAGATGTAACAGCAGGGAGGAAAACTGTGCTAGAAAAGCATAAAGACACGAAAAATGGACCATGAAGAGCATTTGTACCAACTCAACAGTCTGATTATTAACCTCAAGGGTAGACCATCTGTTAACTACAATCAAAAAAGACTGCAGCTCAGCAAGCAGCGCAATATGAAGAATCCAACTTTTCAAAACAACACACTGAAACTAACCTACGCACGAGGACAGAAAGATGTCCCATTCCCAAACCTTGCAGAAAAAGGTAAATAGAAGTATACATCTATATTGAAAAACTGTAGGATTTAAATACAGTAGTCAAGATTTGAAGCGGTTCAATAACATTTTTAAAATCCAAGCTAAGACAAGAATGGTGTTGAATAAACAAATATAGGGCAACTTTGATAAAAGATTTTGATTAACTTTAAATTTTGACTACTGTTGACTTAATATGCCTGCTTAAAATAAGTTCCCTCCATTGGCATTCACACTGTGGTATTTGGCACTGGCTGTAGGGACGTTCTCAACAGTAAATCATTAAGATTGATGGATTGATCGTTAGGCTGCTTAGCATTGCTGATCCACATCTAAACCTGTTAACACTCCCATACGGGATATACCTCGCCGGGGAAATACCACACGGGTTCATTTACGGCCATCCAGACTGCTATAAGTGGAAACATTACTTCGGGACAACACTTAAAATGCTGCTTTGAGGGCAAGACACTAAGATTTTGAGATTGATATTAAGTGATATTAAGTCTCTCAAAACAAACAAAAAAAATTCATCATTTACTCTTCCTCGTGTGGTTTAAAACCTTTAGTCAGAAAGATCGGGAAAAGTGTTTGGAGAGATTTATTACGACCTAACAGACTCCTCCTGCTCATTATTTCTGTTTGTTGTCAAAACTGACAGTTGAGCCAGCGTGGTTAAATATGTTAGTCACATTGTTCGTCACAAAACAGCCAATGTGAGCTAACAAAGTCATATGATTAGTTTTGATTTCTTTAGGACTTTTCGTCACAAGAGTGTGCATTTTCACAACAAACAAAGGCTGTTTCTTAATACGTGTACTTCAGTGGTCTTGCGTCCTCGTGTTCTTATGTAACGTCATCATTAACAGCCAAAGTTCAGTTCCAATACTCAAGACCTCAAGAGCGGAGGATGCATAAAAACGATGCAGACTTGAGCCCCGAACTCACTCTAGAAGTTCCAGAAATCATTGCGACTGGAAGTGGGAAGCGCAGTATTTAATATAGGTTTATTGTTAAAGTTCAGAGATATAAACTTCTTTACCTTCCCGAAATAAAACCGTGAAAATAAACATTACCATGAAAATCTTAATAAGGGAATAAACACATTAAGGGTGCTCATTTGTTAAAATCTGTATTAAAATCTGCAACGTAATATTACGTTAAAATGTGCAACGTATATTTCTAAAAAGTCTATGCATAGCATATATTGTGAAAAGGGGAAAACAATAAATTGCTGTATGAATGCTGAAATGTTTAAATAATATTTGGTTAAAGATGCGTGAAGGTCACATGACCATCAGGAAGAACGCAGCACCTCATTTCTCACAGGACGCATTCTCTATTCTCGCGGTCTCCCGAGTTCGTTCTTCCAAGGTGACCTAGCAAAACCAGTCTTTACAAGAACGCGAGCCCGTTCTCTGCGTCTCAACATCAACAGTTTGATGATGTTGTCACTTGAGTGTGGAATCTTTACAATCTTTACAGATGAGCAAAAGTATTCAAAACTTATTATCATAATATAGTATGAAGCAAAGTAAAGACTCATACACACCAGGACGCTTTTTGTTTGCGTTTATTGTCAGCATTTTGAGACTATTTTCTGCATTCAAACTCAAGCGATTTACACTGGCGTCAAGCAGATAAGTATGCAAAGTCACTCGATGTTAGATGGCGCCTAATGAAAAGCAAAAAGACCATGGTGCACAGGGTGGCGCTACACAACTTTGAGCTCCTGACACCAATTTGTATCAGAAGAAGAAGAAAAATTGACATGCTTGTTGTTTAAGTTACTGGCGATGCAAACGAGCATGCATGGCATACTCCACGTTCATATCGCCTCTGGGTATCTTCTTCAATGTGCGCTTACATTAACAGTTTTGTGCCTGAGTGCCTTCAATGGTGTGTACTGTAACTTCAGCATCTATGTGAACCTGAACAATAATGTCAATCTGATTGGTGAAGAAGGTTGTGATGCGGCACGTCAAAACAAAAAACAAGGATGAGGCGTTTCTTTAAAAATGACGCTTTTACACCAGGTGCTTTGCACGTTGGCATGCACGATCACATTGGCGCCCTTTATATAGTAACATGTCATAAAACCTTTGACAAAAAAAATGCAAGCAAAAAGCGTTCCCGTATGAACGAGCCTTAAGGCTGAAAATGGTCAAAGCAAAAAGAGAGTGCTAAAGACATTGCTGATGAAAGATGAACGCAAAATGAAACTAAATTAGCGAAGCTTTTTTTTAAGTCACAATCACTACACAGTCTGTGTCACAAAATAAAATGGCTCTTTTTTGTTGTTGCCACAACAGCCTAGTGGTAAGTGCATCAACATATACCGCAACAGTGTTCCAGGTGTCCCAAGTTCAAATCCCGGCTCATGGACCTTTACAGATCCAGTGCCACTCTCTCTCAATCTCACTTCACTTGCTGCTAATTTACTGTCCTATAAAAAATAACTAATTTCTCTAGATATAAACATTCTTCCAATAATGTAAGAGATAACGTGAGGACAAAAGCCAACTAAATTTAAAACAAATGATACATATTGTGCTCAATGCCTCATTTGCATATTTAAATATAACATTTTACAAATGAGTAATACAAAAAACTTTTGCGATTCTTAAAATGTAACCAATATGGGAAGTATAAACTTAAATATTTTGTGATTCACAAGTGTACTGTATTTGGTTTATTTGCACTTGTAAATTGCATTATGGGACCTTGATCTCTGCTTTGTCCAGTTTTGTTGTTGAAAATTCAACTCCACAGTTTAACAAAGTCACTCTTATGGACATTTTAGAAGTAGTAGTAGTAGCAGTAGTAGTAGTAAATAATAGTGTATACAAAATAGAGAGAAAAATGTCTGTAAAATTACAAGGTTTTTAGTACTGTAATATAAAATTATAAATCCAGAAAATATATCACTTTAAAGACTTTAAACTATAGCAAGTGTTAATAAAAGTCACCTTTTAATACTTTTAAAGATTAAAAGTTGTTGAAAGGAAGATCAAGATTCCATAATGCAATTCAAAAGCATAGATAAACAGGGAAAAACAAAAACATCGATCACATCAATCATTTATAGATATTTTTTAGTTTACTACAGGTTCTTTTTTTATCCTATTCACCTGCAGGGTCTTGCCTTACAGGAGAATGAATGTATAGTGGAAGCCTCTTTCATGTGGAGCACTAGATTATTCAGTCCAGCAAGTTTTTGGCTTCTTATACCCTCTCCTTTTTTGATTTTCAGCCCTCAGCAAGGTATAGACTATGTTTAGGCCGTGTCTGCATGACTGACTCTTCCACACGGATGGCCCTGCACTTTTCTCTGCAATCTGTCACACAGCCGAACTGTTGCTCTTGCTGTCTGGACCTGCACTGCTAACATATAGCGGCGACAGGTCTGGGGAAATCACTAATAGAAAGACCTTCTCCTTTCTGAAAACCCCACAGATTCAGTTCCAGCCCTTGTGGAAGAAGAGGAGGAACTCCCCTCTGTGGTCAAAATGTAAAGTACAGAATCAATAGGACATTACACTTGGTTTTTTGGCACAGAAATGTTATGATTGTGGTGCTTTGATCAGTTCATCAAAGCACCATCATAGTTCATCATAGTTTTAATGATAGCTTTAAGAATTCTGTAACTGGCAAAGAGCATGTCTCTTCTTTAAATCTTATATGGAAATACAATCGAAAGAATTGATAATGTGTAAAAATAAAACTATGCCAAAAAAAGTGTTGGAATTTTTCTACCAATAAATTTTCCAGAGATTGAACTTAACCTTAAAACATAATGCAATGTGGAGCAATATACAAAACATAGGTAGAATTAAAATGAATTACTAATTACTTGAATGCAGGGGCAGATTTGGGGGCTCTAAGAAATTCCGGGAATGGGGCCCCATTGAAACGCGAAACATTCTCTTTCTCTATAGATATTTTTTTCTCTGTAGAATCATTCATTCATTTTCTTTTCAGCTTAGTCCCTTTAATTATCTGGGGTCGCCACAGCGGAATGAACCACCAACTTATTCAGCATATGTTTTACGCAACGGATGCCCTTCCAGCTGCAATGCCTTTAAGCATTTGTTGTTTCTATTGCAAGTTCCTGAAATCATGAGTCATGCAGGTGTTATTAAACTTGTAATCATTGCTCAACAAACATTTATGAGGTTATTAAACACAAAATCATAAATGAGTTTGCACTACGAGTTTGACTATCCATAACTGCATAGACGTCCTTACAAGTAATTTCACAAAAATATTTTGATTGACACTTGGAGGTGCAGTATTGCAAACAAAGTCCTACGAAATAACTTGTCTTAGCAACAGTATCAATTAAAATACAACACTTGTATAAATCTAAATGTAACTGAAATGTAGTTATTGATTTTGGAGCATCAGTGTTATAAGATCACAGAGATTCGGTTTTATCTGACCACAGCACTGTGGTCAACCAGTGTTCTCCTCACCACAAACCATTTCCTGGTTGTGCTCAATACAGTAGAGGGCAGTGTCAAATTGCTTCGACAACTGGAAAAATAAATGTGGGATTTTGGGAGGGTAAAGTTCACAGAAAAGACTTAAAGGGCACCAATGATGAAAATCATCTTTTGTAAGCTGTTTGGACAGAACTGTGTGTAGGAATATGGTGTCCACTATCATATTGTGGTGATATAAAGACAAAATGTCTCTTTTTTTATTTCAAGATGTTAAAAAATAGCATCCAAATTCAATCCTATTTTGAGGCCCACTGCTACGTGATGTAGGAGTGTGGTTTCTCCACCCACCGAATTGATTGACAGCCACGTATTATCATGTCTCCGTAGTAGCACATATTAATGTATCAAATGTGTATCCTGTCAGATTTGTGTGCAAAAACAGAGCAAAGTAAAACTTGCACGCTGTGTGTGTGTGTGTGTGTGTGTGTGTGTGTGTGTGTGTGTGTGTGTGTGTGTGTGTGTGTTTGTGACATATCAGGACACAAATCTGTATAATGACATGGGTATGACACAGGTATTACAAAAAGGAGGTGAAATATGAGGACATTGGTGACATCATCATTTCTCAAAATGCTTATAAATCCCACAGAATGAGTTTCATCAAAGAGTAAAGCTGTACACAGTCTCCTGTGATGGCTGGGTTTAGGGGTAGGGTGGGGAAAGGGCAATACAATATACGGTTTTTGCTGCATTAAAAAAAATGGAAACCTATGTAATGTACCCACTTTTCACAAAAACAAATGTGTGTGTGTGTGTGTGTGTGTGTGTGTGTGTGTGTGTGTGTGTGTGTGTGTGTGTGTGCGTGCGTGCGTGAGAGAGAGAGTGAGAAATTTGTATTGACATTGTGTGTGACTCATCGAAAGGCTTGAATTAACTTCACAACAAACAACAAATACTCATTGAGAAAATTCTTATTGTAGGATTTCCCACAAACATTACATGAGATCTGCTTACTTATGTCTGTCACTGTGCTGTTTATCGGACGCAGCCGAGGTGGAGGTTGAGGCACACTCTGACAGGCATGTGAGCATTGTGTCAACACCACAGCCTACCTGAGTATTGTTGCTGACCGTGTCCATCCCTTTATGACCATAGGTGTACCCATCTTCTGATGACTACTTTCAGCAGGATAACGCGCCATATCATAAAGAGCAAATCATCTCAGACTGGTTTCTTGAACATGACAATGAGTTCACTGTGCTCAAATGACCTCAACAGTTACCAGATTCCAATACAATAGAGCACCTTTGGGATGTGGTGGAACGGGAGACTCACATCATGCATGTGCAGCAAACAATTCTGCAGCAACTGTGTGATGCTATCATGTCAATAAGGACCAAAATCTCTGAGGAATAATTCCGTTACCTTGATGAATCTATGCCATGACGGATTAGGAAAGTTCTGAAGCGGATCCAACCCAGTCGTAGTAAGGTATACCTAATAAAGTGGTCGGCAAGTGTATATATATTGTTTATACTTGTCTGTTTATATTTTTATTTTGTTATATCTCGGTTCCGCAATGAAGGTGTCAAAGTTTCCATCATTCACTACTATTTTAAAAAGGCGTGTGACTGGCATTGACAGGTGAAAATCTAGTCTACCTGCTTACAGACATGACTAGGCTGCAGACATGAGGGCCCGTATATGATTCATATCAAATAAATGTCCACATATCAACAAGGCCTGAATCTGATTGGAGTAAATTAAAATCCATGCGATTTCTTCCTGCTTCCACGTACATGGGCCAAATTTGTTCTGTGCCACATGGCAGCAAAAAAAAAAAAAAGATTTGGAATTGGGTCACTTGATCCATGCAGTGTAAACGTAGCCCGAGTCAACCCCTTTTAAGTGCACATGCCTCCCCTTCGATAAAACACTGATGCAAATCCTGCAGTTGCATGAGTAGAATAAGAATATTATATTACAAGAAAATTATACAAACTATTATACAAGACACTTGGTCTCTCTGTCTATATACATGAAGGGCTTGCAGGTGGTGACCTATGAGAGCTGAATCTGACTCATGGCTCCTTCACATCACCTCCAGCCTGTCCTGCTGCCCACACAGAGCAAATTCACGCTGACACCACTCCATCAATCCAGCCCACAGCTCTGAGCTCTCAGCAGGCACAGACACCTCACCATTCAGTGGGCACGCTTGCTTCAAACACAGAGTCTGACATTGAAAGAAGTCTGAATAAAATGTGCAGCAGGACCCGCCATTAAACTGGATAACCGATCCTTCACAAGAACTGCCTCCAATTACCTATGAGAATGTAAAAAAAAAAAAGCAGGCACAGCACGCTTGCTCTCAATTCATGCAGTTTTGTTTGAAACAATTAACAATATTTGTAGAAAAACTTTGTTGATTTCAGTTAGAAGCAGAAAAAATGATCTGCAATTAAATGACCATGAATAAAATAAAGACTCAAGCTATAGTCTACAGATCGAAGGGCAAAAGCAGATAATAGCAGTTGAGTCGCCTGATAGTAATGATTACTGACTGTCATTAGGGGGGCGTAGCCGAGAGCCGTGGGAACAGAAAGAGGCTGTGATGTTAGCGCTGATGTGTGTCACCTGTGTGCACCACCTATCTTAAGACCCACGGAAGAAGCAAAAGTATAAAAAGGAAAAGTGACGACAGAGGAAGACGAAAGAGGACCAGGCCTGAAGCTTGTGTTTTGTTTATTCATTCAAGTACTTAAATTTTCATCAGTTACCTGCCTGTAATTTTTAGAGCTTTCTAGATTTCCTGATTACAGCAGAATGAGATGACATATTCCATCATTATCAGATTCTATTTTTATCATACAAACACAAATATGACATACTTTGAGACAGACGGACGGACAAACGGACAGACAGACAGACAGACAGACAGACAGACAGACAGACAGACAGATAAGCAATACCATATAAATAGCAGTGTGATATGGCACAAGGCCGCAAGAGGAGTGCTTAAGTGACACGCCAGTGACAATGTACAGCCATTTTGCAATACAGCGAGTGTGATATTGCATTTATACAACAGTTCGATGACATAATCATGTGTAAAAAAACAGAAAATCAGACAGTTTCAAAAATCATTTTGTATGAGGAACTATTTTCTTCCGCCATTCGTTCACATCTGCAGCTGACGTCAGAACAGCAGAAACCGCTGCTAATTCACCAACGTCACTTTAGAGCTAGTATTTGCATGATTATCCTGCATGTCTAAAGTGATGACAACACAGGTTATTTTGCTAACATTTAAAGATTATAAGGCTGAACAGCATGAAATGCCATCAGTCTACTGAGATTTCCAAGTATTTCTCTGTTGCAATCGAGAGAAAGGAAAATGCTGAGTTTTTCCTCCCCTAAGGACTTATTGTGCAGTTTCTGTTGCCATCTTGTGGCTCAAATATCTTTGCTCTGCTCAGCATGACAGGCTGATGGCCGCTGAAGTGCTTAATCTTACTGTAAATAAGCACTATTGTAAATAAACTGCATAATCGATCTAAACATCTACATTCTCGCCTGAAAAAGCCTCAAAAGTTCTTTATGTTTCCAACAGCTTCAATATTTGTCAAACTGTAGTGATGTTATTGATCTGATGTCACTATTTGGGTGGAGTAAAACACAAGCATAACCTTGAGTGCGTTTATTGCAGAATATCGCACGGCTATCAGCCAATCAGATTCGAGAACCAGGCAAAACTGTTCTGTGTATACATAAGAATTTTGTGTCGCCCTGAGTCTGGGTCTCTGCTTTTCTGTTGCCGGTCAAATATGAGGCATTTTCCAAGTTGAAGTTGACCTATGTCAATCTAATAACTACACTACAGCAGTCACCATTTGAAATGGCAAAGTTAGCGAAAATGGTCTAAACTGACAACTATTAAACACCACCTATTCCCATTTTTTGATCCACTTCAAATGTTGACAACTGTACATGGTTTTTTGTTTCCTGAAAAAAGCTAAATAGCAACAGAGGTACATACAACTAAAATGGGTACATAATATTAATAAATTAATTAATTCATTTTCTTTTCGGCTTAGCCCCCTCATTACTAATAAATAATAAAATTAATTATTCTGTCTATTTGTTTATTATTTATATTCATATTAATTAAGAGTATCGTATCACTGCCCAGATTGCAGAACTCAAAGAATGAAGGCAATTTTATTCCTAGAGCGGTCCAGCTGCTAAATGTAAATTATTGACTAGTTGTTGTTGTTTTTTTTTTTAGTTGTTTTAATTCTTGTACATGTATTAGCTATGTAGTTGCTTAAGCTTTGTAAATGTACTGTATGTGTGTAGGCATGTACATGTATGCAGAGGTTAATATATGGTGTGTGCATAAATGTATGTATTTTTGTATGTGTATTTGTAAATTGTATAATAAAGGCTACCTGTATGCACCATGAATTGAATTGCTTCTAGGGGACAAATAAAATGTTAACTAACCAACTAAGCTGAATAATATAAAAATAAAGCTCATCATCATAAAATATCTTACGGGAAATGCAAGACTAAGGCCCTACCCCTTTCCCTTCACCTTGGCCCTTAAAACAGAGTGTGAAGGGGAGAGGCTTCAAAATGTACCCCTAAGAAATGGGACAGCACTACAGCAACTGCACACGTCATCATATGTCATCGCCATCTCTTGCTTCATATGAGATCAGACGATCGCGACTGCTGTAGTGATTCCAGTTAAGTTATTTATTGGTATTTATCTTCAGGAAATCATTGAAGGCATATATTATGTTATCATAACGATCTAACGTGACAAAAAGCTCGTGACTATGGAGTGCATTTACACTGTGGCCATATTCATCTATGTAAACACACCAAAAACAACAATAACAGTATAGCAGACACTGTAAAAACTTAATTATAAAGACGGTAAAACTTGATTATGGATTATAGATTGTGAAATTAAGATGGTGGGGTTTTTTTTCTAAAGCATGACAGTAAAACACGAACGAGGTTATAAATATATATGAAAACATATGCCTGTTTGTTGTAAAGATTGATAATAATGACAAAAAAAAGGTAATTTGTGGATCTTCTTACTTCCAGGTGCAGCTATCCAACAGTTGTGGCTGATGTATTCTGGGAAATTTTCTTACCCTTTGATTTCGAGTGTGGTCCTGAAAAATCTTGGTTCGAAGGGGTATCTACCCCGAAGGTTTATGTACACCTTCAAGTTAAAGAGAATTGGGACATCCCTACCCCTTCACAGGAACGCGGAAAACGAGGGGTAGGGGTAAGGGGAAGGGCTAAGGGGTAGAATTGGGATTGGGCCTTAAAGACACCATCATGTTCATGATTCATGATACTTCTCAGATTATAGAAAATGCCACGTCCTAAATTATAAAAAGCTGCTTGAAATGCAGCTGAACATCATTTATAGTTTCACTGAGGCCACAAAGTAATGAGTTTATAATCATAGTTTACAAATTTACATAGGAAACTGACAAAGGAAACTACTTAAAATAGAGCTGCTTCAGCAGACTAAAATAAATCTGAATCCCCCTATAATGATGTGGTGTGGAGATGACGTTAAACTCTATGAGGGATGAAGTATTAGAAAGCTGGTGTAACAAATGCATTTCCTTGAGGGAAAAATAAATAAAACTGTCAAAATGCAGTACAACTTCCTTTATATTTGAATTGTCACACGTTTTTGAAATTGAACAAAATTGAGCATAACATTTTATTTTATGCAATGGAATAAAGACAGCTGTTGTACGTTTTGAACATTTAAATGTCATCAAACTAATTTGACAAAAAAGTGTAACAGATGACAACATTTAATTAGTGGTTCATGTGATAGTGATTCATTAAGTAGGATGACGATTAATGAAAACATAAAATGAGTTTGCAAATTGTATTTGTAATTTTGTAAATGACAAGTATCATTAATATAAAATGTTATACTTTAAATATGTATTATTGTTGTGCTGTTATGATATTAAAATACCAATAATGACTTGTGATAATAATTTAAAGTAATACATTTATCTAAATTAAATATGTTTGGATATATTATTAAGTATAATGTCATTTAATTAATTATTTATGCCTCAATATTTAATATATGTTTACATTTAGCACAAAACCAATTTTTGTGACAAAATGTGTGTCATATACTAATGAAAATGCTAGTAAAGCAAGTTGAAAAATTGAACTAAGGCGCTTTTTTCTCTTGGGTCAATAAAAATAAATGTCCTCACAGTTTTGCACATTCATTTTGCACTGTAGTCTGTTACTACATAGCAAGGCACATTACTAATCAAGTTTAGACATATTTATGGAAAAAATACA